GCCAGAGAATTCTAACACAACCCCAAAAATCTCACCATCTTTAACACATTGTCTAATTAGATTTCTGAGAATTGTTATGGCTCCTCCAGCTTTGATATTATTTGAAGATCGTTACATCCAAAAATCGAGTGACAATGAGTGGAATGGTTTCAACGTTTTTCCGGGAGAAAACCCTAACCCTAATTTTAATTTCTTGGTGAAGAAGGCGGACGTCTCCCCTATTGTTTCCCGTGTATCGGTGAAAGATGAGAGCTTCAGAATGGTCTTACCTCCTGCGATGTCTCCACCAAGAGACACTGCAGTTCCGCTTCCTGTTCTTCCGCAGCCAATGATGAACTCACGGAAGAAGCTTAGCCACCAAGAATCAATGCTTTCTCTACGAAAATCTCGGTATCCCGAGAAAAAACTCTACCAAGAAGAAGATGATTTCAAGTGCAATGCCTTCTGTTTATCCCTCCCTGGTTTCGGGAAGCAAAAACCAGTGAGATCACCGAAAAGCGAGGATTCTATAAAGAAGAAAATGATTAAAGCGTCATCCTTCTCAAACTCCACCGTCTCGCTGCGTGCTTCGCTCGAGAAGTTCGAGTGTGGCTCATGGGCTTCAACAACCGCTCTGGCCCGCGAAAACGGCAGATTATACTTCGATCTGCCCGTGGAAATGATCAAATTCGGCGGTGGAGATGTGCAAGAACCAGTGAGCTCAGGTTTCTTCTTTGACAAGGAAACAGGAGGTCTAGCTTTGAGAAGCGTTCTAAAGACTTCTCCATCGGGAAGACAACAAAGGGTTTCCGCAGAAACGTCACCGCAACGCCGAGTCAGATTCTCGACCGCGACCTCGGAATCTTGCCCGGCTTCGCCACGATCTTGTATCACCCCACGGTTGCTTAAAGCTAGAAATGACTTCAATACGTTCTTGGCAGCACAGAACGTGTGAAAACACACACAAAGAACAGAGCACTAAGACTTCTCAATAATACATGTTCGTTTCTACGAATGATCGATCTGTACATACCGATGAAGAGAGAATGTTTGTCGTCTATTTAGATTTCAGTCTCTGTGTAACCAATTGGATGTGAATTCATGTGCTTCAAAATTTTATGCTATGTTTTGTTTTGCGCTGTTCTCAGCTTAATTCTTCATGTATCCGAAGGATTACATGTTTCATCGTTGATTCGAAAACTAAGCTCTGTTTTTCGCATTTTTTGTAACTGAAAACTAAGTACTATTTTGGTTTACATATTTTGGATTACATATTTTGGTTTTCTTGGTACATACTAAAATACATAAAATAAACGGTAAGTACTAAACCTCGTACACAATCAACGAGTCCTCTTCCGTGAAACTTGATGGAGGGAAAGTGAAAGGTATCTTTACGAAAAGAACACTTCAACGTCAAAAGAAAAGAGATTCGGTTAGTACTTTACCTATAAAGAAAGAGGCAAAGATATGAATCCCAGACGCAGATCCAAAACGCAAACGCTCTTGTTAGACTTGTATGC